GCCCTGGAGTCCTCGGCAGCAGGTAAATGAAGGTGGGCAGAGGCTGGGCGGTGGGCGCTCCGCCAGGGGTGGCACCCCAGCCCCCATTCCAGATCATTTGGATGAGTAGGTGGAGCAGGCAGGAAGAATGGCAGAGCCAGAGAGGCAGGATGGAGAGGGGAGGAAGAGCATGGATGGGAGGAGAGGCTGAAGAGCGAGGTGTTTCTGAGTTGCTCTCTGTAGGAGTGCTCCGGCGGGATGGGATTAAAGGCTAAGCTTTTTATCTGTGAGCCAAAGCTTTTAAGAATTAGAGCACAGCAACCCAAAGCAATACAGGCTCCTCCAGGGACTGCTTCCCCAACAGCTTCCAGACAGATTTACAGCTCTGGTTTATGCTCCAGTTTCCCTCCCAGTCATGCATCCAGTGCTGGCAGGAGAGGGTTGAAGAGGGCTGTGCTGCCTCCAGCCTGGCCAGTGCACTCCTCAGCCCCTAAGGCCACCTGAACGCAAATCTACTCCCAGGAATAGCCTCTCCTTCTGTGCCCAAGCATGCTGCAAACCTGTTTTAGGCTGGGCAAGACCTGGAGCTGTGCTGACTTTCCCCCAGACTGCTGAGTGCCCACGGCAAAGAACCAGAGGCTTGAACGCACAGAATGCCATTGGGAATCAGTGGCCATAAGACACTTAAACACTGGCAAGGATAAAGGGACCCACTGCTTGAAATAAATGCCTCTGGGCTCCTAAACCACCACAGCCACGATGTTCATGCAGGTCATTGGCTGAGGTAAATGCGCTTGAAGTCACTCTTCGAGCAGTGGTATCTTCTGGGGCACCCTGCTCTCCCATTCATCACCCCAACAAAGTGTCCCAATGCTGACAAAACCTGCTGCCATGCCCAGAGACTCTTTTTTTTATGTCCCTGCTGCGATATTTCATACCCTCCATCCTGCTTTTCCTGCAGGCCCCTCACTGTGCTATTCCCATCACGTACACTGCCTGCCCATCCTCATGGCATCAGGACCTCGTGGTCCAAAATGAGCACTCCTGCCTGTGCCTGGGGATGCCCCACCTGCTGCCAGAATTGTGAAGAGGCCAGTAGAGAGAAGCAGAGGTGTAGAGCAGCAGGAGCTCCAGGAGGAGCAGGATCTCCTGGCTCTCACTCAGGGGATGTGTCTGGAGCCAGGTTACCATGACCCCACATTTCCCCTATATGAACACGGCTGGCAAAGGCCACGCCAAGCCCTGCTGCAGCCCAGGAAGCAGCATCCCTCCCTCCATCCATCACTTTCAGCAAGGGCGAGCTGGGTGGTGGCCTCTAAACCATCCCAGGGCCGTCACCACCCTGGGCAGGGATCCCTGTCCCTGCTCACTACAAAGGCAGCCACGCACAAAGCCTCCGTGGGCGGATGGGCTTGGGCCAACTCTTGCTTTTGGGTGGATTGTGAAAGGGAAGCACAAACACCAGGGGAAGCTGAGACCAGGGGAAGCCAAAAAGCAGGAGGCCAGCAGAGGAGCCCTGCAGAAGTGAGAAGGCAAAGCTGGAGAGTACTTTTGGGCTCTCAAAAGCCATCTTTTGGTCCTCATGGGGTTGAGAAAACAGGGCTTGGTACCTTCTCTCTTGGGAAAACTCATGCAGTTCACCTTGAAATGATTCAGAGTGCCCCAAATTTGATTAAACCCCAAGATGAAAATGGGAAGAACAACATCAGGGGTGGAACAGCCCTTGGGGTGAGTGTCAAGCTATCATCCTCACAAACCCATGCCAGAGCCAAGCCATGGCTGGCAGTGCCTGATGAGTTCAACACTGGCCAAAAGAAATTTAAGTGAACCCAGGTATAAGGACTTCATCAAAGTCCTCAAAGGGCTGTAAGTAAGGCCAAAACCACCTCTACAACAGCAAGTCAGTGCATCCTAGGCATGATCAGGGATGACATCTCCACATCAACAGCAGTGAAGGTTCTGCAGGCAGAGCAGCATGTCCTACAGCTGGCCACCACTGCAGAATAGTGTAACAAAAAAGGTGTAGCACCAGGTCTGGACATCTCTCAAAGGCCTTCATGAGAAATCATCAGGGGAGCAGTTTGAGGACCCCAGGGTTTGCCAAGGAGCTTGGCATTGTGTCCTGAGGCAGCCCACCAGGAGGGAAAGCTGTTTGTACAAGTGTGAGCTATCTCCTCAGCAGCTCTAAGTACAACTCTGCCTCTGATCCCTCAGGCAGGAAAGGGGAGCTCTAGCCTGATTTATGCTGTTCACCTGTGCCTTAGGAGAATTGCCTCTGGGAGCTGAAACAAGAGTTGTTGGCAACAGTGCAAAAAAATTTGAAGAGGAGGGTACCTGCCAGGGCAGGTCGTGGAGAAAAAGCCTACAAAGAGATGAAGTGTGCCCCTTTGTAAGTCCACACTGCAAGCAGCCTCTCTCACTGGGGCCAGGGGTTTTGCAGCACAAGGAAGAGCTTCCAGTCATGCTTTGAGGCCCAGATACTGGGGGAAATTAAGTGCTAAAGCTCCAGAGGGTCTGACAAAGGCCAGGAGCCTCTAGCCACAGTCACCCCTCAGGGTATGCAGCAGGAACCAGCTCAGGGACTCAAAGAGGACATCTGGATTTAGACACAGCAGATGTTTTGGATCATCTCTGGTGAAGGATCTGACCCAACAACATCACCTACAAGCTGAGTAAAAACAAACCTCAGCCTGGCACAAAGGGAAATTCCTTGGGGTTCACCAGAAGCAGAGCAGGCATAGATGGGAGACAAAAGAAGTGGAAAAGGAAACAGCATCACATGAAAGGACTCTTATCTGCTGCCCAAAATGAGTAGGACAAGGAAGAAGGAGCAGTTTCCTTCCCTAACAGTGGCTGTGGCAGGTTACACCCCAGCAGAAATCCCCCCATGAAGGAGTGACTAAGAAGGATGAACAACCCCATCCAGTGTTATCTTATTGCAGGGATTCCATACTGCTGTCTCCTTACCACAAGAGTTTCACACCTCCTTGGTGTGTCTCATGGGCAGCTGCTCAGAGCACTGACTCTTTCGTCTTCACAAAGCAGCCAACTGACTCCAGTTCCCTTCTTACCCAGTCACCCCACTCTCTTATAGCATCTTCTTCTCACTGGTCACAGCTGTGGCCTGTTAAAGTCAGGCCTATTCCTGATCTTTGGTAATTGACCCAGCTGAAACTCCTTAGGGGTAAGATTACTTTCTACACTATCTTTACTTTCTTATATTCTATCCCCACTACAATTCAGGGTGGCTCTGAGACAAAATGTGGCATCGAGGGGAAAATACAGCAACTCCTGAGCCTTCAATCCAAGCAGCAGCCACAGCAGCTGACAGGACAGCCTGCTTTCCATGCTCAGAGCTGCTTAGCCTGCCCTTACTTCCCAGGCACTGATGCTGGGAGAGTTCAGCTGTGCCCTGCTTTCCTCCTGCCTTCCCTCACACATGGACACTTGGAGCCTCTCCAGCTCCTCCACACCTCTGGATGACCCCATGCTCAGCGGCCTCTCCTTTGACAGAGCAGGAGCAGCAGATGAGAAGCAGAATCAGCACCTGCTGAGGGCTGGCAGCTGCTTCTGTCACCTGCTCACCCAAAATGCCAGCAGCACTGGGCTGGCCCCTTGGTGCCCAGTGCAGGGAGCCAGCGGGGAGGGAGCAGTGACTCAGACAGCCTGAGGTGCCTGGGGCTGACTCAAGCTCTGGAGCAGGGAAGCTGGGGGATATTACAGGAGTGAGTGCCAGCGCTCACGGGTGGTGCTTTCAGCACTGACAACTGTCCCACCCTCCAGAAGGAAATTAAAAAATAAAGAGTAAAAAATAGTAATAAAAAAGCCTCTGCTGGCTAGCTGGGAAATTCAAACCCCAGCACCTGCAGGCCAGACCTTCAGAGGCAAACAGCTG